CTTTAAAACAGTTTTTTTTTTTTTTCCGGTACCAGGAATCAAACTCACAACCTTGCACTTGCCAGGCAGGCGCTGTGCCGCTGAGCTAAATCCCCAGCCCCTGAAAACACTTTTTTTTTCCTACTATAGTGTTGAACCCAGAGCTTTGTGCATGCTAAGCAAGTGCTCTCCCCAGCCCTAAAACCCTTGAATTGGAATTGACCACTTTATGTAAGTGGTTGCATATTTTGATAAAAATGATAGAAAGTACAGCATTTCGTGTGTCCATTTAATCTTCGATAATATCACACGTGTGCCCTAGAATGTGCAGTGTTTTGGGGATGTTAATCTAAATTCTAAGTTTGTAGTTAAAGTCGTTTTTGAGGTTTGATTTTTCATTGTGTGTCGATTGTGATTTTCAAATGAGACTTTGGGTTCCAAATACTGAGCTTCCATGAACACAAGCTTTGGAATTGGTATACTATTTTATACACTCTCTAATTGAATAAATAAATTATCTGTAGTAGTGAGGCACATGTAGAGCCAGAAGACAGTGCTTTTCCTTTATATAGAGTAATTTGTTTTTATTACATATTTATGTTTTGTAGTAGGTTATAAATCTCATTATATGCAATCATGTGGGTCTTTAAGAATGTGGTGAAAAAAGGAATGACTAAAGATTCCCCCTATTTCATTTCTAGGTTTTCTTTTGTTTTGGCTTTTGTTTCTAGATGCCATTAATTTGAGAAGTATAGATGCCATTAATTTGAAACTAGATGCCATTAATTTGAGAAGTATACCTCAGAGCTGTGTGTTCTTATAATAAAGTGCTTTCATTATGCAATATATAGCTTCATGGGTGAAGACCATTAATGGAGTAAAGTTAACATGAGATTTTTGAATATTGCTGTTGAGTGTGTATTTTACTTTGGCCTTTTGTGTATTGCTTTGATAGAAATTTAATTTTTTTGGTTAATGAGCTCTCATGGCTGTGAATAGAGCTACTCTTAGGAGTTTCAACTCTTGTCCTGACCTGTGGGTATACTGAAAGCTTGTTTGCCCAACAGGAACACGTCTGTTGAGGAGTTCTTGGTAGCTGTGACCGAATCCTGGAGAAGAACAGTTTAGAAGAGGAAAGGTTTACTTTGGCTCACAGTGTCAGAGGTTTCAGCCTGTGGTCACCTGCCTCTGTTGCTCCTGGGCCTGTGGTGAGGCAGAATGACATGGGGGCAGCATGTGGTGAAACAGAGCAGCCAATTTGGGGCAGATGTGGGCAAAGTAGAAGAAGGAGTATGTGCTGCACGGTTTCTTCCTCCTCCTGCTTGTATTCCTTTGAGGCCTCCAGCCTATATCGGATGGTGCTTCCCACATGGAAGGCAGGCCTCTGCCCTCAGGTTGCAAACCCGGACGCCTGCCCATTGACACTAGAAACACCTGGAAACACTGTCACAAACATTACTAGTTACTAGAAGTGGGATTCACTTCCTTCCAAGGTTAACCACCAGAGAACCTAACTTGTTTTCAACGTGTAAGCTTGGATCTGACATACTTTGATGGTAATTAGTAGTGGGGGCACTTCTGAGAGGGGTGATGAGCAGAATGCTGTAGGACACGCTGAAAAGAACTTTATGTGCTAAACAGCAAATTTTCCATTTCTTTGCTTGTAGTTTTGCACTGAGCAGATTGGGAATTTTCCAATACATTCTAAGTATCTAATGTTTTATTGTTAAGAGTCCTGTGCAGCCAGAATTTAAATGCAAACTGGCCTGCATTAGAAGGCTCAATAAAAAGTGTTGTCTTTCTTTTCTTCCTATATACCTTTTTTCTCTTCCTCCTTCCACATGGCATTGAGAAGACAGAAAGTTGTTTGTATGTTGCTCCATCAAGGACATAGAGACTGTTCTCCTTTAGAATCCTAAAAATAGACTAGTGTTTTGGATATACACTTAGAAGATCGTTTTTGGGTTTGTGTTAAATTGGTAGTTTGGTTAACAAAATGAATGTTTTTCTTATGAATTGTACCTTTTTCTCTGTGTCTGTTCTTCAGAAATTTCCCTGGGAACAGCCTTGCTTCTCTGCTGAAGCGTAAGCTCTTGAGGGCTGTATAAGAATGTGCCTTCATGATGACATGAGACAGTGTTGTATGGCATTATTAGAAGGGCAGTGAGTGTCCCTGTAGCGGTAATAAGAAGTACTACTCTTGAGTCTTTATTCACAGATTCTACATCTCTCCTTCATAAGTTGGATTAAGAAAAATGTGTATGTTGCTATATTCCATTCATTAATTAATTCAATAACATTCTCTTAGCAAGGCTTAGTACACGCTGAGCGCTGAACTAGATAAATTGTTCTTGCCTTTATGAAGCTTACATTCTATCAAATATAAAATAATCAGTTATATAACATCTGTAAATGTAGTTATAAGTACTAAGACAAAAGTACATCATGTTTTGAAATCTGTAATTGGGCAATTTGACTTAGTCTTGGAATCGGGAATGGCTTCCTTGAGGAAGCCACATTTGTGCTATCATTATGTGATTGAGGAATTCATTCAAAATAATTGCTTAGGGAAATACCTAGATACAAATTATTCAAAATGTAATAATAAACATAGTAAGATAAATTTATATTCCATTTTATTCTTGGTCTTCTATAGTTTAGATGAAACTTGATTTCTTTCATTTTAATATGACTACCACAATTCTTAGATGAATATAGTCTAGGACTTTACAAACTCAATCTAGTCTTTGTTTTGAAATTAAAAGCCTCGTGAGTTACAACATTTGAAAAGTATTACTTAAAATGCATTAAATTTATCTTGTATGCCATTCTGTTGATACTTCCTTAAGTAAACAAACTAAGCCATATCTGTTGTCTATCTTTCCAGAGAGACTATGAGTTTCTCAAGGACAAAGGCCCTATCTCCAGAACCCCGTAGGATGTGAGATACATCTAAGTGCTAAACAAATATTGAGCAAATCAATTATGAATAATCTGTGCTAATAAAGAGGAAGCAACTTGGTGACTGACCTTGTTTCTGTTGAGCATCTTTGATACCACAAGGTCTGCTTTTGGAAACATGTTCCTTAATACATAGTTTTTAGGCAAGTTTTAAATTTCTCTACACCTAATTTTCTTCATCCTTAAAGTGAGATTACATGTGTAAAGTACTCAACATAGTGTCCAACACACAATGTGTTCCATAAATGGTGGCTAATATAAAAATCATGCATTTAACTTCTTACCCATTTGTGTGTTTCTTTGAGTTTAGATTCCTGTAGTGGCACAAACTACTAGTACACATGAGGGTAGATAACTGACCCTTGCCATGATTATATTCAGTCAGAAAGTGGAAAACTTACAACTAGTGGGTTATTTGCTTAGTGAAACTGAACAGTGAATTACTGATCATTGATAAATTGTCATTGAAATAAATATATATCCTTTCTTTATAAGTCAGTTTTAAAAATAAACCAAGTAGTCTTTATAAATAAATTTTTTTGGTTTAAAAAAAAATGAAATCTCATATTTTATGTAGATGAAGATATTTCATGTATAAGGTTTGCTTGAATTGGTGTGCATACAGACATTAATTTTATTGGTACATTTTAGATTATATATAATCATATAGACATTTAATGGACACATTTCTATGTGGGGATGGAAAGAATAGAAGGTCTAATCCATGTTTTAAATTTTTCAACTGCAGTGAATAAAATTAGTAGTACTTAAAAATACTCTTTTTCTCTCATTGACTAACACTGGCATTTTCTGAGCATGCTTATGAAAGATTGTAAGGAAACTCATGGATGAAAGAGAAATATTTTAAGGTTTCAAATATGACTTTAAAATTTTTTAATTCCACTTACAAAATTATGTTAGCAAAAATAATATAATACCCCTGAAACAAAATGTAGCCTAAAAATGCATTCAAGTTTCTCCAAGAGCAAAATATCCATGAATTAGTACCACAAACTTGAGGTGTTGCCAGTAGGCAAGGGATTCATAATATAGAATTTGGAGTTTATTTCTAAGCAAATGCTGTCTTTTTATTTTGCTGTGCTGGGGCTTGAACTCAGGGTCTTGAGCATGTTAGGCAAGCACTCTACCACGTGTTAGAACCCAAGCCCCAGAGTGTAAGGCATTGGAATGGGGTAGATGGCCTTCTAAAAAGTGTTGTTTCTGCTCTTGAAGTATTTTGATTTGTTGAGTTTACCTGCTTCTCAGGACATAACAAGGACACAATTTGACATAGAGTGGGAATTGCTAGGGGCCCAATTCAAAGGAGTTTGTCTATAAAATTGAAAATACTGGCAGTTTTATATAATGTACTCTGACAACCCATACTCTATAATTTAGTGGGATTTATGTAATTTGCATGTCTTATCTCAGACGACTTTGTATTTTTTCCAGTTGCTTCTGAGATATCACTGATAACTAGGTAGTTTCCATCATCATAATTGTGACATGCCCAAGGTCACAAAGCAAATTGTTGATTGGTACCTGAATGTAGGTAGGTCTCCTTACTTTTTGATCTTTCCATATGCTAGGATATTTCACTGACTTACTAATCTAAATTGAAATTTTAGAATTCTTAGTCTGGTTTATTAAGTATTTCACAGTGTATACAGAAGGTGGACTTGGAAATAAGATTGCCCAAATAAAATGAAACTTTTCTCCCAACTAGCCAATATGCATTTTTGGATAGTTTTTGTGTACATATTACAGTTCTACTTGCGCTCTTTAGATTAGCAAAATTAGACTATGTTGATTAAAATCCAACTTCTTTGTAATTTTTTTTTTTTTTAAAACCTACTAGCATAGCCTATTCCAAAACAGTTCAGCTTGGGCAGTCTAGAGAAAGCACATCAAAGCCATGTGTCTTTTGAACATTTGTATTACTATTGTAAACTCCTTAACAAGATAACTTTTTTTTGAGTAGATGTTTAAATCTCTAAGATAAAGTTCAGGGCAAATTTGTATTGGACAGGATGAATTTTTCAATTTGATTATAATAACTAATGCCACTAGGAAACCGTAACTGGGATTTAAAAATTTACCTTAAAAGAAAACACTCATAAACTAGTATGCCAGAAATGAACCTGCTCACCGGGATTTCTAGAAGGGAGGTTTATTATCAAGTACTCCATTGAAGAGTAACCAGAGGAGTTCCTAGTTGTGGATCTGTATGGGTCGAAAAGTCCCATTTTGATTGGACTGGAAGTAAACATGATTTATTTTCGTCACTACTGATTGGCTAAAAACTTTTTCTTTCTGTATTTTCCGATATTGCAATCTGGAGCCCTTTCCTTGTTTCTGTTATCTAGAAATATGTACCAGCACTATGTACCAGCACTAAAAATACTCAGATTGGTGCAGAGACAGTGTGAGATTTAGGTAGGCTGATAAAAAGCCCGCAGAGGAGCATTGAGCGCTTTTGTAACAAAGCCGGAGAGGTGTAAATCTTCGCATAGCTCAAACATAATACTAGTTCGCCGCAGCTGGGTAGGGTGAATGACAGTTTGTTTTTTCTTCGGTTTCCTCCAAAGTCGCAGACTGTGTTTCTGTGACTGAGTTCTGCGGGCTTAGTCTTAAGTAGGAAGCATTGCCCCGCTTTGCTGCGGGGACTGCAGGACTGTTAATTCAGGATAATCCAGCTGGCGGGCGCCATGTGTCCGGGAAACGGCGCTCCGGAGATGAGTTGTGTGACCTGGAGTTTGTCTTGTGACCCCCGGTGCGAACGGCGCACTTCGGTCTCGCGCAGCGGTGAGCACAACTGGAAGAGCCTGCCGGGCGCTGCCGCAGTGAAGCCCGCCCGCCCCGCGTCGGCTCCGC